GGGAAATTGCTTGATAACGCTCTCCATCAAACTGGAAAAACGCTTCTTGATACATTGAGAAAAGAGCTTGAAGAGTAACTAAGTGTGCTGTTTGTCCTCTTCGTACATACTTGCCTTCTATTATCTGTTTCACTGTGGAGGAGCCAAATAAGTCGGACTCAACCCAGCACATATCCACACCACTGTTGTCAATGTAGCTTCCAATTGTTCTTAACTGTGCCATAACAATATGGAGTTCGCCTGAAAATAATAAGTGCAAAAAATATCAGTTTGAATACAAAGCCAGTAAATCTAGTGAAATACTAGTTATCGCACCTGGGCGAAGTATTAAATGATCCATATCATTTCTTGCCATCTGAAGTCTTTTTGCTGGTTGATAAAGGCCTAAATCAAGTGTCACCACGGTCTTTCTATCAGCTCCAACCACTAACGTGTTGATGTTTTGTGCCTGCTTTAACACTGTTAGTAACGTACTCCATTCATGTGCCGGGGCCGCAATGAGAGGTGGTGTTGCACTTCTTGTGGTATCCAGAGGGTCATATATAAGGGAATTATATGCAGACGAAACAGGAACTTGCGTTGCATTACATAACTCCTCAGGTTCTTGTGTTTCCTGCTGCGAGAGGCTCGATTAGCTGCGCCCTAGCATCCATGCAAACTCTTTTCGTCTAACAACAATAGGTAACTCATCTTTATCATACAGCCTGAAGTTGGGGTATACTGGATTCTTGGGTGTTTTGGGAGGTTCTTGGCATTCCATTAGCTCAGGAATTGACTCGGGAAGGTTGCGTAATGTGCGACCTTGACTTGGTTGACTATCCAATCTAAATAAATAAATAATCAAATGCGCATTACAAACATTAGAAAAAATACAAAAATAAGAACCTTTTTACAATCAGTATGGAATCAAAGACGAAAACTACACTACTTTACAATTGGTTATAAGAAAAGTAATTTGCAGAAAAACTATATAAAAATCTAAATATAAACTAACTGTACTAACACAATGCCTTGCTGAATAAAAATGTCTTAAGTTTCTGTTTAAAATCACTTTTGGTTCAAGCAGGTCTAAAGCTTACCGGAAGAATCTTCCAAAGCCAAGGCGCTGCCGCCATGAAGGATCGATCCCCCATGGTAACTTTTGTGAAACGCTTTGGGGTGCTCAGAAGAATTCCCTTGTTATTTCGCCGTAAATCATGACGGGATAGCGGTAAAACAGAAATTAAACCAATGAGATATTAAGGAGCTGAAAATAGTAACAAAAATGTACAAATGATCAACCAATACCTATGATATTTTAAAAGGCTTGCTAACTAACCTTATCTGTGGAGTTGTGTCTCTAAGATCCGTCTTCTGGTAGATAGCCATTGCGGTGCCGTGAAGTGTGTGTTTTCCATCATGAGTATCCTCTGCAAAATCAACGTTGTCGATTGCGAAAAATACAGGAGGTACATTCCGCCATGTTGATTCATGCGCTCAAGAACACTTTGCTCTATTTGGGCTTCAATTCTAAGTAACCTGTTGTACTCAACACTCATTCCAAAACCATGAAGCATACTTACGATCCCTTTGCTTCTGATAGATTGTCGTAGAGCCAAGCCAACAGCCAGTTGTTGAGGCATGTCCCTAGAAGATTTGATTACTTTAGACTTGGTGTTGCTTTTTTGTCTGTCAGTCAGGAACATACTTACTGCAGTTTGTGCCAAGCTCATTGCTCGCTTGTGAATTTCGTTTGACTTGTTACTGGCGTTGATGTCAATGCTTGGCCCACTTATCAGCCATCTACAAAATGAGTAAAGCTCCTGTGGTAGATGGTTGCTGTTTAAATCTTGAAATGATCCAGTAAAGACCCAGTTTTTGCACTGACTGATGGATCTTCTAAGGAATTTCGCAGCCTCAAATAGAGTTTTCATTTCCTGGTCACTAACATCAGTACTACCCTCTGACTGCTGGATTGCAAAATCACGTGTACTCTTGATGGTGACTCTTTCGGACTCGTTGACTCTTTTGGGTCTGTGGAACTCGGCACCTTGTATTTCATTCTGGATGAGCTGTTTAAGTACCTTTCTTGTGCATGTTGGGTTTTCGACGTTATTTGCCTCTAAAATGCTTTCATATCCTTCCTGAAGTTTTGACATTGTCAAAATTGTTCCATTTCTCAATGTATTTTCAACCACGGTTAGAAACTCGATCTGAGCTGCGGCTTTACTTGCTCTACGACTAACTGGTTGATCGGTAGATACCGCAGGTGCTTGAGATTTCCCTCGACGTGGCACACTTGTTACATGATTAACCCAACACTTCCCATGATATTTAATATCAATAGCATGGGCATCACTAGGGTCGATTGCAGAGCTTAACTTTACTCGAAGTTTATCATTTGAAGACATTTCAATTGCAGCACGAAGAGATTCGCCAGCTGAAGGTGTCAATACACTATGGAGACTTTGCCTATACCCAGCATCACCCTCACAAAAGAAGCAAACATTTTTATCATATGGAATAGTTTTTGATCGTGTTATTTGTTGACTGTCTTCCACTGTTATAGATGACTTTCTTCTCATCTCGTTTGGGCCTTCTAAATGCCTTTCATAACGCTCTTTGGCTCTTTTCAGCATCCCAGAATGTACTGTATTCTTATAGCAACTTCTGTGCCATGATGATTTTTCCTTTAGATCCTCCAGGGAGTAGAAGGATAGCTTGTCACGACTTCTTACATGCTTTCGCTCACCATACGTGGCCCACTCCTGTATCGACTCCAATGTTTTTTCATGTGAATTCGGCTTTTCAACTAGATCTTCATCATTTTTTTCTTGACATATAATACATAAACTTAGATCTGCTTTTTGTTCTTTGTCAGGGTCAGGATCAGGGTCGATATCCATCAAAAAAACTCAAACGAAAAGACCATCGGTCTTCTCTATTTCAACTGCAAGTTAAAATGGCGGACCTGTATTTTGCTGCAAAAAACCGCTGACCACGAGAGCCTCGTTTTCAAGCTTGTGGTTATTATTTCATCAAATTCTTAGTTTAAGAGCCAATAAGCTTAGAAAATAGTTATTATTTCATATGGCTTCATTTTATTATATTGTTTTAGAACACAACACAAGAAAAACTGAGTTTATGAAAAATGTAATTTTTAAATCATTGATGATAGGAGATATAGCCTCTTTTTCATGTCTTTAATCAAATGACAAAGTGGTACAAGGTTTCAGTCTTTGACGTGAGAAAGTCTATGAAATGTTGCTTCTTCATTATAACTTACTTTTGCAGTGATATTTTGAAACAATTTACGAAAAAAGGGCACATTTTGGATTTAGCCTCGTTTTCATGCTTTAGGTTACGTGATTACAATTTCCAGCTAAAAGTGTGTGTAATGCTAGAGTAAAGCTATTCTTACAATTTGGTGATGAAATATTGACATATAAGAGGGAATAAAGACGATTTAAGATGTAGCCTCGTTTCCATGCTGATATTGTATGAGACGTGTTTTAATCCCCCCCGAATCGTGCCGGTGCGGGTCACAAAGTTGCCGACAACATTTTTCATGTTCACTAAGGTCCCCTCAACATATCTAGACCAGTGGCTTGCTTTAAGCATTAATTTCCCACGGGACGTAATTTTACGACACTTGCTCCCTGACTATGAATAATTAACTAACTGACGCCGGCGCTTGTTCACCTGAATATAAGAATGACTGACCATTTCAGCTAACCCTTTTAAGACAATCAGTTATCTATAGTGAGAATGGAAAAAGTCGATTGCATTGTCTGTTATCTTCTGCCAATTTCAAAGTCAACCGAACGTCTTGTCATGTTAGCTCCATATATACATATATTTTTTATGTGACGTAGCTCGTGTCAAATGAATTTGCCACCATTTATTTTAAAACTCAATCTTCAATGGTTTTTGTCTTGTAACTCCAATAAGGGTCGCAACAAGTTCTTCCGCGAAATCAATAAAACCTTACGACTTAACGAAGGAAATTAGGTCTGACGTCTATAGTGAGCTCGACAGCAGCTTATATGGCAATATACAGTGGAACCTAGATATAACAGTGGGCTAAGGGACTTGCAAAATGTGCTCGTTTTAACGAGCTTTAGATATATAAAAGTTCTTTCCAAATACTTCAGTTAGTAAGAGTGCTCTTATAGCTCTGAAAATGCGCGAGTTCTAAGCTTATCTTTTTCCGAATACCTCTTTCCGTTATTGTTTCAGAAAGCCGAAACTTCCGGTAGTCCTTCAAGTTTACGAATGATGACTAAACCTGGGAAAAGAAAGGTAAAAACCCAAATTCAGTTAATCGTAGAAACATTAACAGACTGAATTCCAAAAACTGAGACAAACAATGGAACATTCATCTAAGAAATTTAAACCTATCTCGAGCTATAAGATTATCTACAGACAATACTGAGTTTCTTTGAACAGATATTCTACAGAAGAAAGTCTTTGTGTGCCTCTACCACATGAAAAGATGTGAAGTTCCTCTGAATGTTTGCACCGTGGTCTAAGCAGGACTTAGGTCAAATATCCGGTTCTTAAAGAAATTCTCAATTATATGATACCAAAGTTAAAACTTTTTGTTTTTTTCTTTTAAATAACTAACTTTTCACAAAATGCTTTGCTGGATGTCTCCTCTGATAAAGCGATGGAAAAAATATGCATCTATATTTGAAAAATTTATCATCAGTTAGGCTTGTAAAAGACATCTGCGTTGGACAGTGTTACTCCGGCGAAGAATAATCTTCCGGTCTTAAATTATCTGCACATGACTGTTTTAAATATGGAAATTTTGCACTAAAGAGTGAGCTAACCTTGAATAATTTCCTTTGCTTATCATCTTCCGCTTAGTATATCTACCCCCATATTTTTTTAATTAGAACTTTGTTCGTCAATCAGCCCAAAAAACAAATCGGCCCTATACTTTTTGATCGACACATACAATAATTATTCCACCGCTCCACACAGAAATTTTAGAACAATGGAGGAGTAAGAAACAAACTAGATAACCAATTGACTCAACAAGTGAATGACTGCCATACGTCATAACTGTATAACCATTCTCCATATCGTTGTCTGATTATAAAAGTGGCGGTTGATAACATTACAGTTAAAAACCAGATACCAGCGATATACCCCCCCCTGTAGGCCCACTTTTTGATGAGGAGATGCCTGAAGGGACGAATTGTTGCATTCATGCGATCTTAAATGAAGTTACTGTCAAAAGAACTTTCAAAGCTTAATAGCAAAAAAATCGTAGTCATTTTTCCGAGTCTACTTTCGTGCAAACGTGCCTGAACAATTTCACTCGGTTAACGGAGCTGAAATTTTTCATGAAAATATGAAGACGGCCCACGTTCACGCACAATCCTTGTATTTAAATATTTTTCGTTGCACTAGAATATATTAATGTAGGCATATATAGTGAGGAGGAGAGAAACACACGCTACTTGAAACAACCTACATCCGAATCATGTGAAAGATCTCGTGGCCACTTCCGATTGTCCTATAGCTAAAACGTTAGCCTGCGTAGCAGGCGTCGAAAGGGGTAGGGGGTAGGGGATAGGGAGGAAGGGAAAAAGGATAGAACTTAGGTTTATTCGGTTCTTAAAGATCAGATATCTGTTATACCCATCGCCGGCTTTCTACAATATTCTTCAAAAACCATTTTAGGATATCTTTTTAGATTGTTTTCAAAGCTTTGCAAATGCGTTCTAGAAAGCTCTGTAAACTTTTAATCTGTTCGCGTCATCCTAGGGCGTCCCAAAATCTTTGATGCTTTGAATTTTAATTTTTTACTGGAAACTAACCATTTTGCGATACCCCTTTCCGTTACTGTTTCCAAAGGCAAAAATTTTAGAAGTCCGGCCTTTTTTAAGAAGTGATGACTAAACCTTCCGATTTCAGAAAATTGTAGAACAGTTAATTTAACCCAGTTTCTCGAGCTATCTATAGAAATTTCCAGAAAAAAAATGATTGTGCTTAATATTCTAACAGAAGACAGTCGTTGGGTGTCCCTACTACACTTGAGAAGATCTGAAGGTCCACTAAATGTCCTAAACCGCGGTCTAACTAGGACTTATATTCGCTTTAGTATATCTATCGCTCTATAACTGGTATGTTTAACATCAAACTTATGCTCACTGCCTGCATGATACCGCAATAAAAACCTTTAATATGTTTCGTTTTGTTCTAGCCTGATCACAGATCCTCTGTTTTCTATTCAAAGTCCGTCGAGCGCGCGTGATAAAGAACAAAAACGGCGGGGGATTTACTGACCGCCAGCGGAAGGGGTTAGGGGTGGGAAAGGAGAAAATTCTTTATTTTTCTTTCTCGCGCTCCGCACTCGTTCTCGCTCTCCAATGTTTTCGAAAAGAACGAAAAGAAAAATAAAACAACGTCTGTGTACAGGCTAGTTGTGTTCAGCCCTTTCGTTTTGTATAAATAACTAACCTTTCGCAAATGCTTTGCTGGATGTCCCCACTGATGAAGCGAAAAAGTATATTAGTAGTTTTTGTTTGGAAAATATCAGTCCGGCTTGTAAAAGACGTCTGCGTTGGAGGTAACTCCAGCGAAAAATAATCTTTCCGCGATTTATACGTTCTTATAAATTATCCGCACATCTGTTTTGGGAAATAATATTTCACTATTAAAGCTTCATTGCTTTGCACCATTGCTTTGCTTTGCATTTTATTGAATTTATTGTATTGTATTGTCACCCAAACATTTGTGACCTTGCCTCCAAAACAAAAAAATTCCGATTTATTCCCGAAATATTTGGCAGTGTTCTTAAATGCATAGAAAATGATCTTCAAGTGCGACGTACTAGGGAAATTATAAAAGGGAATCTCCAATCTTTTCATATCTATGCGTAATGCATTATTTTTTTTTTTTTTGCTCAACTCGTTGTACAGGAAGTAACATCCATCAAAGATTCCTACAAGAAGAAAGCAAAGATGACAAGGAAGGTTTTTAACTCAATGGAAGATGTTAAGTGTAACGAGGTGGCAGGTGCAATGTATGCGTTTCCGAGGATAACAATTCCAAACTAAAAGCTTTCGAGGCAGCCAAGGTATCATGTCCTGTTTCCGGCCCTGATCTCTATTGCCACACTGCAGAATACTGTCAGTAATGGATATCCTAAGTGTACGGTAATCCAGATTCCGGAACCTGGCAATTCTTTTCTTGTAGACTGATCTGGAATCAGTTCTGGGGTTTGAAATTCGGAATTCAGACTCGGTTGTTCAAAAGATGGATAGCGTTATTAAATCTCTATCCAGTGGATAAGTATTAGGGAAACCAATGATTCATGGCCACGTTTTTGATATGAAAGGCAGCGGTAACAACTGTTACTACAGGTAAGATTTGAATTATTAAGGGCCATCAACTTCAGGTCGGAATTTTGATGATTTTAAAAACCTCTCTGTGATATCATTTGCGCCCTTGTGTCACAAGATTTTCGCAGGCTTGTCTAATATATTTAGATTGATTAGATTGACTGCACCTTTAAATTTGAAAAGACCCCTCTCTCCCCCCAACTCCCAAACATTCTGCCTTTGTACCACAGGAACACCAAATTAGGATGCGTTCTGACGAACGCAATAAGGGTATACACAGATCGGCCCATAGCCGGGGTGATGGGGGCTTAGTGGAGGGCCTGCAACTGGGATAAAGTTGGTGTTTACAAATAGAAGGGCTTACAACCGGGATTATACGGTATGGATCAGAGCTTAAACTTACGTGGGAAAAGGCGTTCTAAAAGCGACTTGTCTGTAAAAGCGACGTTCTGTCAGCGTGTGAAAGTCTGATGAAATTGGACCAAGTTTTATCTCCACATTATGGGTTAAAATAATCCAAAACGTTTTGATTTTTCACACCCACTATCCATACGAAGGAAATAACTTAAAACGGTTTCATGTTTTAATCTTTCTTGGTAGGATCACTATTCTTCCTTCTGAAGAGACGTTCGCTCCAACGTTTGAGCGACTAAGAACCTTTCACCAAGAATTCATGGCGCAGTTTGAGGACACGAACTGACAAGATGGATTTACTGGATTTAGTTTCCAGTGATGACAATATTCAGTCCAGACTATCTGATATGTCTTCATCCTCATTTATCAGGGGAAAGTTTTCTGATGTAAAATGTATGTTTGAAGAAGCAAAACTCTTGTTTACAAATTTCTATTTCTCGAGAAAGGCTAAATAGTTTTGATGACTCTTCATTCATCTATGATTTTCAAAGTTTTTCAATTGACTTCCCTTCCCAGATTTGGCTATATATTATCTCTCAAAAAAAGACTCGGAAATGTTCAACAATAGTGGCAGAAAAAGTCTTGAATGTATCTGGCAAGCTGTACACAAATGTCCTTAACCACACAACGAGGAAAAACAACATTCTTATAATCCTCTCCTAAAATTGGCGTGAAAAAAAAAACACTTTTTTAACAATTTTCTGACTTTTCCCATCTTTAGGACACTGAAGTGTGCTTTTTCCATTTCAGCGTTTTTCCGGCCCATTCCTTGTGATATTCCAGACACAGATAAGAACGTAAAGAAATCCTGTTTATATAAATAGCAACTTTATTGAAGTGTCTTAAAATGCTGATTTTACTAACAGAGGTATTTTACCTTCAAAACAAGTCGCATTATTAAATTAGATATCACGTTGTGAAATAACAAATTAAGAACGAAACAACTTCTGCGCTTATTAAATGTACATAATGGATGTATTTCATGTTTTTCGACCACAATCATAATGACTAACTCTAAACAAGGAAATGTAAAGGATATCTTTTCATTCTGGAAGCATACTAAACGTAACGAAAAGATAAACGAGACTATACTTACGGGCTCTTATTTGACGAAGTACTGTGGTTCAACTCATCAATGGTTTAGATTTTGTTTTCCTTTGTGTTGCGGTATGGTTATGTACGATTGAGAATCAGAGTTAAAAACAAAGGAAAAAAGCATTTGAACCAAGGAAAGAATTGCACCACAACATTTATTTAGGGCCATTTTATCGAACTTTAAAGGTCGCAAAAATAATATACAATCAACTACTGTTTTTTTGTTTTTTATGAAGATGACGAAATCATAAGTTGGAGAGTAATATCTCGGGCATTTTGTCTTCGTTGACGTTTAAATAACAGCAGGAGAGCTTTCCTAAACTCTGGCATTCTGATTGTGTAAACGATGGGATTAACAAGTGAGTTCATCAAATATAGAATGGTTAAAGACAAGTCCAAACGTGCAAATTCCTGGAAAGAAAGGAATTTCATGATACTAGATCTAGATTGAATAAAAAGAAAAAGAAAAACCGCATGTGGTAGCCACATCAGTAAGGATACGATAGTCATTATGAATAATGTTACGGTCAGTTTCCTTTGTCTGTTGGCTGCACCATGGTGCTGGGGATGCGCTCCACACAAAAATTTAGCAACAATGCAAGAGTAAGAAACACAGATAACAAATAGACACAAAAAACAGTATGATTGCAATAAGTAAATATGATACGACCATTCCTTCCCATATTGCTCAAGTATTATACTGGCAGTTGATACCATTGCAGCTAAAACCCAGACAGCAGCAATTGTTACCCCGTAGACCCACTTTTTGACGAGGCGATGCCTGAAGGGACGAATTGTTGCATGCATCCGATCTAATGAAATGACTGCAATGTTTGTTAGAGAGGTCAGAGGAAACCAGAGGTAGAGAAACGAATTTATCACATTCAGTTCTTGGCTTAAGTTCATTTTCACAATGTCGCATGAGACATCTGAGAGGAATCGAAATAGATAAATGTGAGAAAATCCTCCAACAAACATATCAGCTATGGTCAGGCTTATAACTAGGTACATGGCACGATTGCGAAGACTGCGGTTTTTTATAAAAAGAATGATTGATAGAAGGTTCACTGTTACTATGGCCACACACACGGTAAGGAATACAGCAAACCAGGTGATGCACTCGGACGAAGATAATTGCATGACTTGTTTTCTTTTACTCCTTTTTGCTTCACACTTTTACCCGTTCTCTTCTGTTGCTCGTCTACCTTTGGAAAGAATTTGAATTTGATTACTTAGAAAAGAAAAGTAGGAGGTGAACAAACAAGGTTGACGTCTGTTTTTCAAAGATCAGTAGTGAAGATACATGAATAATTCGACGAATTAGGAAGCTCACCTTTAACTTACAGTTTTTCAAATTGCCTTCGCAAAAGCTGAAGTGAAAACCCTTGTTTTCACCTGTGGAAAAAATATCAGTGACGTTTGAGGGGAGATTAGGATAAATTGGTTGACTAAAAGTTGAGGGCATTAAATTTCGTTTCAGCGCTGAATGTTTTTAAAACTAATTAACGTCTACTCAGCGCTCGTTCACCTGAGTATAAATAATAGTAATTATCATTATTATAATGGTGGCGGTTTATTTGCAGTATTTCCAAAGAAAATAGCTCTACGTCTGCTGATAAAATATATTATAGTATATCTAACCGATTTTTGGAAAACCAACCTAACGAAATTTGCAGTCATTTGACTGAAAAGGCGTCAAAAGGCAGGTTTCTTACGCCCGAGAACGGCTCCAAAATCACAGTAACGAAGGAAAAGGAAAGGAGAAAAAGAAAGAGCGACGGAGGAGACCAGGAAAGGAGGAGAAGAAAAAAAAGCAATGGTTGCACTCTTAGTTTTTATAATGAGCTACTTTGGATATAGTTTTTGGCCGAAATAAACTGTTGGACGGAAAAGGTCCATTTGACGATAACGTTTTCAAAAATCCGGCTAGATATATGCAGCTTAACAGCTTAAAACATTATGTTCTTACATCAGGAGCAAAAAATGTTCGTGGTAAAATGCAAAGGGTACTACTAACTAACTAACAATCTAACTGTGGCTAAAATTGTATTTGAATCTATTACATTAATACTTTTTTAACATTTTTATTTCGCTCTTTAAAAATATTGAAGGTCTGTTTGGTATATAGGGAGTAACTGATCACCAAAATGAAAATGTGACTATCATTGCAGTTAACCCTTCTAAGACAATCAAATGTCCATAGTGAGACCCGAAAAAAATTAAATGTTTCATGCATACTCGATCTTCGGGAACAATTTCACTTGGTTAAAGGAGCTGAAATTTCTCATGAAAATATGACTGAAGAGGGCCTTAAGTCGCGGCTTAGCTCGGACAATCCTTGTATTTTAACATTTTCCATTGCAAGTATTTTTAGGTAAGTATATATTATAGTGAGGAGGAGAGAAACATCGCTCTACAACCCGTCTACCATATCCGACGCCGCCTCTCTCCAAACTGAATTTACTCAAAAAACCATTTGAGTATATCTTTAAGATTGTTGTTTTAAAAAGCAGCTCTGCAAATGCGTTCTAGGAAACTCTATAAAATTTGTATCTGTTTTGTCATCTTTGCGCTCCTTCAGCCGATGCGAATTTATTAGCGCTTTACTTTTTCGAAAATCTTTGATGCTATTAAATATACAGAAACTCAACGTTTTCCGATGTACATCTTTCCGTTACTGATTTTAAAGCCCAAAATTTATTATAAGTAGTTCACTTTTGCGAATGATGACCAAATATGGGAAGACAAGTGAAAAGTGAAAATCCCATTCCCAGCTTCCATCATGGAAGTTAATAGACCGAAAACTTCGAAAAACTGAGATAAATGATACATTCATCCATGAATTTTTAACTTTTTTCGAGCTATAGAAATCTCTAGATAATATGTGCTTTTTCGAACAGCCTATTTCACAGAAACTAGTCGTTGGGTTCCCCGAGCTACCACATGAAAAGACTGAAGGTCAACTACATGTGCTAAATATAGCTAGGACTTTGGTTAAACATTCGATTCTTAAGGATTGGTATAATAAACATTGCAGGTAAAACCCAGACAAGAGCAGCAATTGTTACCCCGTAGACTCCCTTTTTAATGAGCAGAAGCGATGCCTAAGGGCTGTATAGGGACGAATTGTTGCATGCATCTGATCCAATGAAATTACTGCAATGTTTGTAAGAGAGGTCAGAGGAAACCAGACGAAGAGAAAGCCAGTTGTTAATGTCAGTTCCAGGGTTATGTGCGGAAATTTCACAATGTCGCATAAGTAGGGTATACAATCTGTACGTAGAAGAGTGAGAAAATCCTCCGCCAAACATATTAACTATGGTCAGCTTTATGACTAGGTACAATTTGGCACGAGTGGGAAGACTGCGTTTTTTTTAACAAAAAGAACGATTGATAGGTAAGGTTCACTGTTACTTATAGCCGACAGACATGGTAAGGACTACAGCGAACCAGGTGATGCACTGGGATGATATCATGGCTTACTATTTTTTTCGCTTCACACTTTTAATTCCCTGTTTCTCTCTGTTGCTTGTCTATACCTTTCAGAAGAATTTGAAAAAAATTTCAGTTAAGAACGTGGACAAAGAAGGTTGATGTGAGTTCCGCAAAGATCACTAATAGAGATACATTAGGACGCTGATCGACAGTATCGGTTGTTGGGACAAACGGTTTAATTAGTTTTTATTCTGCATGCGTCTCTGCTGAAACAAAGGAAGTTTAATGGTGTTTTCCTGTTTTATAAGCTATGAAGGTTATCATAAAAAGGGAACAGCTTACTCTTGATGGTCAAGGAACTTTTAGAACTACTGCTAAGAAAATATCACAGTTTTCTGCGTTAATGCAAACTATACGATCAATTTCACTCGGTTAACCGAACTAAAATTTCTCATGTGAAAATATGAAAAGGTAGCCTGAATTTCATCCGATTACTTCGAGTCGTTATTACTCCCTCAGTTGTTGAGAGGAGAAAACGACTCGAAGCAATCGGATGAATTTCAGGCTAATGAAAAGGACGTAAGTCGCTTTCAGCTCGGCTTATCCCTGTATTAAAACATTACAAACTTTTATGTGTGGGCATATATCATTGAACACAACGCCGTGGCTTCCTCCAAAATTCTATTATAATCATTTTAGGATATCAGTTTTTAGATTGTTTTTCAGTAAAGATTTGCAAATGCTTTCTAAGAAGCACTATAAAATTTTTAACTGTTTTGTAGTTCTAGATCTCCTTTAGTCTATGCGAATTTAATACCTCCTTCTTATTACTCTTCCAAAAATCTTTGATGCTATTTAATCTTTTACTGGAAAACTCGACATTTTGCGATACCTCTTTCCGTTAGTATTACGAAGCCAAAAATTTTAGTAGTAAGTCCTTTTTTACGAATGAAATCTTATCAAACCTGGGAAGTCACGGAAAGGTGAAAAACCGACTTCAGAAAAACGTAGAAAAATTAATGGACTAACTAAGTGTCGAAAATTGAGATGAATCGAACATTTTTCATCGAGGAATTTTTTTCTTGAGCTTTAGAAATTTCCAGACAATTATACTGTGCTTGTTCGAATTATCGCTTTTTTACACAAAACATTCAACCGTTGGGTGTCCCTGTACCACATCACGGAAAAGGTCAAAAGGTCCTATGAATGTCCTAAACAGTGGTTAAGTAGGACAAGGTTTTTAAAAAAATATTCGGTTCTTAAACAAATATAAATGCGCAACTCTATCATACCGTAATTAAAACCTTTTTGTCAAGTTGCATTTTGTTTTCTTCTTGTGTGCAACTAACGTTTCACAAAATGCAGTTTGCTGGCTATGACAAAGAGGAAAAAAAGACTTTGCGAAATATCAGTTAGGCTTGTAAACTGCCGGAGTAAAATAAGTAACATCCAACGCAGACGCCTCAAAGAATAATCTTCCGAATTCCGGCTCGATAAATACGGTGTTAAAATTATCTGCACACCAGTTTCGGGAAGTATTGCACTAAAAATAAAATACTTTTAAAATATTTGCTTTTGCTTTTTATTTTTTCCGCATAATATATAACACGTTCTAAAACAAAACGCGATATAAATTCTACAACGATAAAAACTGGCAAATAATTGAATATTTTACCAAATATTATCCCCCCCTGGAAAATTTGAGCTGAATGAGGCAAATTTTTTCATACTTAAAGGTGTTTTGGAAAAGATTCTCCTTAACTTGCGCTCTCCTGTATTGAACACGATCATGAGATTATTAGATATAGAGCAAAAAAACTTTGCTTTTACCATACTTCAAACAGGCTGGCAAATGATGATTTGTTTAAGATAAGTATATCTATCGCTCTACAACTGGTATGTTTAACAATAAATTCATGCTCACATAATGCATGATACCGCAATAAAAACCTTTAATATGTTTCGTTTTGTTCTAGCCTGTTCACAGACCCTCTATTTTCTCTTCAAAGTGGCCTCGAGCGCGCGTGATAAAAAACAAAAACCGCTGATGATTTGCTGACCGCCAGTGGAAGGGGTTAGGGGTGGAGAAGGAGAAAATTCTTTATATTTCTTTCTCGCGCTCCGCGCTCGTTCTCGCTCGCCGCGCTCGTTCTCGCTCGCCGATGTTCTCGAAAAGAACGAAAAGAAAAAGAAAATAAAGTCTGTGTACAGGCTAGTTTTAATTTGTTCGGCCGTTTCGTTTTTTTTTTTAAATAAATAAATAACTAACCTTTCGCAAAATGCTATGCTGGATGTCCCCACTGATCAAGCAAAAACGTATATCTATAGTTTTTGTTGGGAAAATATCAGTTCGGCTTGTAAAAGACGTCTGC